GAAGATTGCAATGCAGTGGACGATATGAATGACAAGCTCGTGGAAACTGTCCATGCGGTCGGAGCTAATTTCTGCAAGACCCGCCGCAGAAGAACACAAAAACTCTCCGATCACACTCTTAATCTCATGGCTGTTAGACGAGAGATGAGGCTGCAATCGTCAACAGATTTGACAGCATACAGGCAACTGAACAAACTGATCTCCAAATGCATGCGGCAAGACTTACGCAACTTTAATACTGCTCGTATTAAAGAAGCGATCGAGCGGAACCAGGGCTCCAAAGTCTTTGCCAGAGATCTGTCTGCCAGAAAGAGCCAACTGTCAAGGCTGAAGACTGAGTGTGGCAGCTGCGTTTCCGGGACACCTGAGATTTTGAGTGAGATTGAGAGGTTCTATGGGCAGCTGTACACATCATCGTTGGAGCTACACGCAATTGTGAGTAACGATACAAGAGCAAGTCTTATCCGACACTATTCCGATGATATCCCGGACGTCAGTCTGAGCGAGATTAGAATGGCTCTCCAGCACCTTAAAAACGGCAGGGCCCCAGGCGAGGATGCAATTACAGCGGAGCTTCTGAAAGCGGGTGGAACACCGGTACTTGAAGTCCTTCAGAAGCTCTTCAATTCCGTCCTTCATGGTGGCACTACTCCGGAGGCGTGGAGCAGAAGTGCGGTGGTCTTGTTCTTTAAGAAAGGCGACAACGCTCTCTTGAAGAACTACAGACCGATTTCCCTTCTGAGCCGCGTCTACGTGCTGTTTTCGAGAGTCATTACGAATCGTCTCGCACGCAGACTCGACGACTTCCAGCCTCCCGAACAAGCCGGTTTCCGAAAAGGCTTCAGTACCATAGACCACATACATACCCTGCGGCAGATTGTACAGAAGATCGAAGAGTACAATCTGCCACTTTGCCTGGCGTATGTGGACTATGAGAAAGCCTTTGATTCCGTCGAAATTTGGGCGGTGCTACAGTCCCTTCAGCGGTGCCAAGTTGACTGTCGGTATATCGAGGTGCTGAAGTGTTTGTACAGTAGGGCTACGATGGCTATCCGAGTACAGAACCAGAGTTCGAAACCTATCCAACCGCAGAGAGGTGTAAGACAGAGTGACGTTATATCCCCGAAACTCTTCACCGCTGCATTGGAAGACGTTTTCAAGCTACTGGACTGGAAAGGATATGGTATTAACATCAATGGCGAGTACATCACTCACCTTCGATTTGCCGACGATATAGTCCTTATGGCAGAATCGCTGGAGGACTTAAGCACTATGCTCAATGACCTCAATAGTGCCTCCCAACGAATAGGTCTTAAGATGAACATGGACAAAACAAAGATTATGTTTAATGTCCATGTCACACCTATGCCGGTAGTTGTGGGGAGCACTATGCTCGAAGTTGTTGACGAGTACGTTTACCTGGGACAAATAGTCCGACTAGGTAAGTCCAATTTCGACCGAGAGGTCAACCGACGGATTCAACTCGGCTGGGCAGCGTTCGGGAAATTACGACACACAAAGTGTACAACCAGTGCGTGTTGCCAGTGTTGACTTACGGATCAGAGACGTGGTCCTTCATTGCTGGCCGTATGAGGACGCTCAAGGTCGCTCAGCGAGCTATGGAGAGGGCTATGCTCGGAGTTTCGCTGCGTGATAGACTCAGAAATGAGGATATCCGCAGTAAAACCAGAGTGACCGACATAGCCCAACGGATTAGTAAGCTGAAGTGGCAATGGGCTGGCCATATAGCTCGAAGAACCGATAACCAATGGGGAAGAAAGGTTCTCGAGTGGCAGCCTTGTACCGGTAGGCGTAGTGTAGGGCGACCCCCCACTAGATGGAGTGACGACCTGGTAAGACATGCAGGAAGTCGATGGATGCAGGTGGCTCAGGACCGCGCTTTGTGGCATTACTTGGGGGAGGCCTATGTTCAGCAGTGGACTTGTGAAGGGCTGTAATGATGATGATGATGATGATTAACTTATACTATATCAAACTGTACTATATTTAGGTACTTATCCTATAATCAAATAAACAAAAATAAAACAATTGTAATACAACTACAATTAAAATGAAAAGTAATCTATATTTCTACTTAAATTATACAAACTAAAATGATAATTATGCCTACCTACTGTACTAAATAGTAAATCTCTTCGAGAATCGAATTAGCTGTAAGAAAGGACACAAACTGAACATAACCGTCAACGATGTCTGCCCTCTTGTTTTTATAATCACAGATCTCCAATTTATTTTTATAATCACAGTCTGTCATATTTATATCGGATTTCGAGTTTCAATATTTAATGTCAAAACTATATATATATATATATATATATATATATATATATATATATATATATATATACAGGGTTACAAGAAAAATCGTGCTAGATCCGTTAAGGGCGTGGAGTACCCATCATTTCTGACTTATTTTACTATGAAACACCCTACCCTAAACTTAACCCTTTTCGAGATATTCGACTTTTAATTTTTTTATTGAAAATTGCCGATTTTTAGGCTACTACATTTATTTTTGTTTATTTTGTGTATCTTATTATTATTATTATTGCATTTTTACATGTGTAATTAGATGCTTTAGGACGTGAATTATTAAAATAGTGCATAAGTTAATTGAATAGACCGTAGTAGACAAGTGAAAGTAAAGAAATAAAAAAAATATATTACAAAGTTTATTTTTCTCGAAGGGATTTCTAAAAAAAATTATTATGGAAATTGTTCGGCAGATATTTTTTTTAAATATCTACGTTTCATCAGCTATCTAACGAGGTATAATAATCTAAGGTTTTATTCAAATGCATTGAAAAAACTTTAGTTTCATAGGCGACAGTGAAGAAGAAAATTTATACTTAGCCGAAAAAAGTAAAATAAAACAATAGTGAAATGTCATTTATTAAAGGTTTTCACAAAACTTTTTCTTATTCTACAGTTCATGTTCAACATGGCCACCTCTATTTCTGATGCATTGTCGCATCCTTCTACGGAGACCAGTCTTCACTACTCCAGTGGTCAACATGGTCCTAATTTTATTTGCTGCATCCACAATCCTTTCTCTTAAGTTTTCCACAGACGAAACTGGATTCGGCTTGCTGTATACAAGACTTTTCATGCATCCCCACACATGAAAATCCATGGGGGTTAGGTCTGGACTTCTTGCTGGCCATGGCAACGGCCCACCTCGTCCTATCCATTTGTTTGGATAATTTGTGTCCAGCCAGTCCCTGACACTTCTCCTGAAATGGGCAGGGCAGCCATCGTGTTGAAACCACATGTCTGATCAGATTGAGTGGCAGATTATCCAGCAAATCACTCAAGTCTGCTCTCAGGAAATTTTCGTAGCTTTCCGCATTTAGATTATCCGGGAGAAAGTAAGGTCCAATCAAATGATTGGAGATAATGCCCATCCACACATTCACGCAGAATCTTCGTTGGGACCCCTTCACTCTTTTCTTATTGGGATTCCTTAGTACTTTTGGGGCCCAGTAATGGGCGTTGTGATAGTTAGTTATGCCATCTTTATTTAATTTGGACTCATCCGTCCACAAGATATTTCTTAGAAAATCTGGGTCTTTTACGTCAGCATTTAGCATAAACCTGCAAAAGTCCAATCTTCTCGCGGGGTCTCCTTCTTCAATAACGTGTACCGGCGTGTAATGGTACGGGTATAGGCCAGCAGTATGCACCGTAAACCGCACTCTCCATTGCGAAAGTCCCAGATCACGGGCAACAATATTAGTGGAAGTAGTCGGATCCGCTCGAAAGCGTTGCACTATCTCATTGTCCTGTTCTTCGTCGTCAATTCGTGGTCTTCCCATGTCTGTATTTCGTCTCAAAACAGAGCCAGTTTCTCGAAGTCTTCGATAAACTCTGTCAAAAACCGCCACATCCGGCACTCGACGACCGGGGTAGCGAGTTATGTATTCGTTGCGAGCTTGCGCAGACACACAATCGCAGTATCCGTAACAGATAAGCATATCAGCATATTCCTCAGATGTGTAGGGCGTCATCTTCAACACTTCCGTATCACAGGTACAAATCAGAGTCTGGTTAACAAGCACAGTAGTCACAAATCAGAAGAAATAGTCTAGAATCGCAGCCAAGTCGAGAAAAAGAGCAAAACGATATCGCATCTACTATGTACGAAGCACAAAAGCAGACTGACAACCAAACAATACCCCCTGTTGTATTCCCAGCCCTAACCGGTCTCTACACATTTTTTCTTTCATTCGCACCTACATAAATCGTCACTTGTCTCGCTCGCTTGGTGCGTCTTAACTTGAAGGACAATAGGCGCGGGACCGTTAGAACTGCTACCTGGATCGTCCCAACTACTTTTTTTCGACGAAATGTAATACAAACCCTAGATTGTTATACCTCATTAGATAGCTGATGATACGTAGATATTTAAAAAAAATATCTGCCAAACAATTGCCGTAATATTTTTTTTAGATATCCCTTCGAGAAAAATAAACTTTCCAATATTTTTTTTATTTCTTTACTTTCACTTGTCTACTACGGTCTATTCAATTAACTTATGCACTATTTTAATGATTGACGTCCTAAAGCGTCTAATTACACATGTAAAAATGTAATAATAATAAAAATAAGATACACAAAATAAACAAAAATAAATGTAGTAGCCTAAAAATCGGCAATTTTTAATAAAAAAATTAAAAGTCGAATATCTCGAAAAGGGTTAAGTTTAGGGTAGGGTGTTTCATAGTAAAATAAGTCAGAAATGATGGGTACTCCACGCCCTTAATGGATCTAGCACGATTTTTCTTGTAACCCTGTATATATATATATATATATATATATCGGGTGTCTCAGTAAGAGTGCACTTTTTAAAATTGAAATATTTTTTTTGCAAGTGGCAACTCTGAAATTTGACAGCTGTCATCTCTGTTTATTCCCATTATTAAAAATGGAGAGGTTTTCAAAAGAACAACGTGTTATAATTGTGAAAACTCATTACAAAAATGGGGAAAGTTACGCTGAAACCGCTCGCAAACTTCGCCAAATTTTCAGCCGAGAAAGTGCACCTAATGTGTCAACCATTCGAAGAGTGGTTAAATAATTTGAAGAAACTGGGTCAATTATGGATCCTTTGCGTCAACGTACCGGTCGGTCTCTTGAAAACATTGCTGCTGTAAACGAGAGTGTTGCCTAAAACCCGAAAACATCAATTCGACATCGTTCTCAACAACTTCAAATTTCACGAAGCACTACGCAGCGAATTTGAAACAAATGCACCCACAACGAGTAAACTGTCTGGTGCGGATTTTAGTCAGGCGGCGTGATTGGACCTTACTTTTTTGAAAATGAGGCCGAAACTGCAGTAACTGTGAACGACATTCGTTACAGGAATATGATAACGGACTTCTTGTGAACTCAACTGGACGGCATGGATCTGGACTACATGTGGTTTCAGCAGGACGGCGCAACCTGCCACACCGCGCATGAAACAGTCGACTTATTGCAGCAACGATTTCCAGAACACATTATCTCACGAAACTCTGATGTTTCAACTGGCCACCAAGATCGTGCGATTTAACGCCATGCGATTTTTTTCTTTGGGGTTTTGTAATCTCGGGTTTATGCGAATAAACCCGAAACAATTCCTGAGCTCAAATCGGAAATCCAACGCGTCATCGGTGAGATACAGCCACATCTCTGTGCAAAAGTCATGGAAAATTTCATGAAAAGAGTAATGGCCTGTCATCGGAGCCGTGGGGGTCATTTGCCGGATATTTTATTCCATACTTAATCGGAACCTGTCTTCTTTACAATACAATAAAAATATCACAACTCTGTCATAAAATACTTGTTTTTATTTTAAAATGAAAAAGTGCACTCTTACTGAGACATCCCTTATAAGGTGCGTTGGGGCAATACCGGACGGATTTTCGACTAGTTAAAAGAGTCAGAGTGGCAAAAACTTTATTTTCTCGACATCCATATACGTCAGATTTCTGAAACATGGCGCAAATCGTTAATGATTACACGTAATTTAGCTATAAGAAGCTTTTACTTTTCAAAACTCAACAGTTTCTGCTTTAAACGTGTGCGAAGAAAAGGCATAATTTTTTATATGCGTGATGAAGAATTGGCCGATGGCCATGGGAGGGGAAGACCGGACGTCGCTAAAAATCGCAAATAAAAGTGATAGGGAAAGACCGGACAAACGAAAGAATTCAAAAAATTACCTTGTTTTATAAAATACTGCGCAGCACACGCCCTACTTTTCGGAGCAACTGGCTGAAACTTGGGGTCGGGGCAGAATAAAATGCAGTCTTGTACCATATTGCTAGCTTTCAAAAATATAGCATAATTCACCGGAAATTTGAATTTTACGGTCTTACCCCATCACCGATCTTAAGCCAATGCACTATATATATATTAGAGGTGGGCCGAATATTCGGCTAAATCACCGAATATTCTTTAAAGTGGTACTCAAAGTATTCTCCGTATGGAAATGTACGAATTGAGTAATGCCATGTGTTTCATCATTTGACTGTTGAAAGTATATTTATTTATGGGTTAAATCTACTTGTATAACGATATGTTTTTGAGGCACTGTAGACTTATTTCCAATTATAGCAAATAGAAAGCTTGATAAAACTTTGTTTGGAATCATCAATAACAATCAATAATACGTCAGGTGTGGCGGGGAGCGAGGGGAAGGCTCTGGCGCTAATCCCACGTGCTGTACGGTAACAAGTTTCGACATAAATTGGTTAGGTACCGAGGTAAGTTAGTTTTTAAATCTTGGTCTAGTCTTTGTGTAGTTCTTAAAAACTTGTTAATATGTATAACTTATTTAAATTAATAAAATTAACCATATATATTATATGAAATCACCCATTTATAAGAATCCACGATTTCATAACTTATCAAATTTTTTTAATTAGTCGTGTTTAGGTTCTTAGTCGCATCTTCCGTCTATTTAGTAAATTGAGAGTAAAAGGAATTTCAAGCGAATTTATTAAAGGAAATATAGACATGCCAAAGCTATAATACCTATATATAGTTAAAATTACGAATCTGTCTATTGACACAACTGTCCTGGTCTTTGGGCAATTTATATATGTAAAAGGCCTGTGTGATACAGGAAAAATTCCTAGTGTGGATGCAGCATCGATATATTTTCATTTTTATCTTTTTTATTTTTTCTATTTTATAAAAAATATTAAAATAGTAATTTAGTAATATTTTTTTATAAAATAGAAAAAATAAAAAAGATAAAAATGAAAATATATCGATGCTTCTTATGATCTTTTTTCGAGATCAAAAATAATGTACGTTTATTTACGAAATTCTTTAAAAGATAACTGAGATTCTCAAAGCAAAGAAGGAATCCCTAAATCATTTAGACATGCGTATTGTCTTGATTGTTGATAAGCGAGCATGCTTTGCATGGGTAGGACCTAATTAATGTGACGTTATGTAAATCTATCTAAATCATCAAAGACCATTAACTTTTATATTTCTAAAAAGAAATATATCAGTATTTCAGATAAAATATAGCTTAGATCACTCCTGACATTGCTTACCAATGTTCACAAAGTTTCACGAAAAACAACAATTTTAAAAATGACATGCGAATAACCCCTCAGCTCAATAAAAGGCAGTTTTTTCTATTTTGCAGACGGACACTTCCGTTTTATTTATATGTATAGATTTTTAATAAGAGTCTAATGAGCTTGGGCGATGCATGTCACAATATAATATCGGAAACTTATCTACCTGTTTGGAAAATAGATTTGTGTGAGATCAGCCAAACTCGGCATCACCGTAGTTCACAATACGTAATTATACGTGAGATAGGTCGCTTTCTTTATTACATAAAGTACATAGTACGTGATATACCGCTCCAGTGACATAATATTGTTATGCATTGTTTAGTCCTCGAAACAGCGGACTTTTTGATATGGACAGTGCCGCGTGTTTGAATGCGTTGAGCATCCTAATACTATAAAACATTGGAGATTACATCACGGGTCGCAAATAAATTTATTAGTTTTGTATTTTCATATTGCAATACAAATTAAATGTTATGAAATACATAGATATGAAATATTTTAATTTTGTATTTCACCGTTGTACGCATCTTTCTAGTTCATAATTCATTAGATTCATCTATACGGTCTTTTACTGTAAAATAGTGAAATAGACGTGTAAAGAAATGCTGGCGTCTAATTCATTTAATATTTAAACAGGGAGTGGCCCTATACTTATTACTACTTATTGATATCTCTACTTATCGGTAAGGTAATGAAATAATTAATTAACTGCAACTGTGTTGTCATATTTTATGAAAAGATGGAATGATAAAAATCGCAACTGAGGTATATTGCTGCTTAATGACAAACTTATGTAAGCGGATGCTTCTCAAACAGACTATCAGGGTTCTATTACACATCATGTTAAACAGTACATATATACTGAAATACATTATGTGAGTATCACCTTCATTTTAAGCACTAAGCACGTTAGCTTATGTGCAAAATTACATAGTTAGATCTATCAATAGATTTTAGCTATTTACAAAATATAATAATTTCAAACTTTTCAAATAATAAATACGTATTATGAATTGTGAACTATAAACACCATACTGTTAATTTTTTATCTGTGTATGAGCTTAGCTATACAATGAACAATTGCATATGACATTGAATTTCTTGTGTATATTTTCCGTATGTTACTTCCAATGTTAGGAATCTCGAGTTTTTCTCTCCTTTCAGATTTCACCAAACTATATATATAAATTTCATTCCTCATTCCTCTAATAATAAAAAAAATCCTAAACTTTGAAATTTTTAGGCCATCAGATATTTTTATCACACGAAAAATCTGCGCCGGTAAAGTTTTAAGAGAATCAAAAATACTTAATTATGTAAATTATTTCTATTGCAATGAATTTTATTATAGTATCTCGAAAAAAAAACAACAAACAAACAAAGCTTTATGTAATCATTAGTTTCTTTAGTAATTTTCACTAACCTTTAGTCATTAACTAAGTTGAATGACAGAGGAAGTAAGGTTGAGCAGCCCTGACAGGGCATAAAATGGGAGGCACCTATAAAAGGCCTTCATTGGTCAAATCTATTATCAGTTAAAATATACCTTACAATCGAAAAGTAGTGCAAAAATAAAAAAGAGAATTAATTTAGAAATTGTGGTGATATAATTATTTAAAAATGGGTGTAAGATTTTTGGTTAGTACTTTATGTAATCAAAGTTATTTATTGTTTCATGTTACTTCCTTACTGATTTGCATACAACAGTGCTTACTTCTTTAATTTGTATAGATTTCTAACGGACGTTCTCTTTGTTGGATGTGTCTTAATTATAACTAAAACGGTTATTCATTTTTCGTCTTTTACCTTTTTGGGATAACTATAAGGATATATATTTTAGAAAACGTCCTTCGGAAATTTTTTGTGGTATATTTTAATTTCACCCGTGTATTTTAATAACGAAAACTAAGATGATTTTCTCATTGTATTTGTATATGTAATAATGTAAGTGATATTGAATTCCTAAGAACAAAGCCACAACTTTCCTGTTTAATTCGCCTTGTCAGGGTACTTACAGCCTGGTCTGAAAACTTTCTTGTATCGAGCATTGTAAAAAACTTACTTCTGTTTAACAGTTTTCCAACACTTCTTATATTTTGTTTAATACTTGTGTATTTTCATGATTCGTTTATTTTAAAAGTAAAAATACCTCCATTAAAGTTGAAAGACATAATTATTTCAACTAATTTTTGCGTAAATGCTTACGTGGTAGAGCCATACTGCAACTTTATTATGGTTGTAGCACAAATGGATAACGCATGTGAGCACGCTCTCACAGAATACCAGCATAAAAACTTCTGTGTTTCATATGGAGAGTGGAGAAATCCGGCGATCCTTTTTTACTCGAAACGAGACATCTTAGTCCTCAGTTAACTTTAATCGAGGATAAATGTAGATGTCTATGGGCCACAGCACATTTACCATCAGGCGGATTGTGTGCTTGTCTGAGACCTTTATTCTATAAAAAAATATCTGTGGGTCACAGCATCCACTTACTATCAGGTGAAATGTGTTCTCGTTTGTCAAATTTTGATTTTGAAAATAATAACTGCATCCATCAATTTCCTGCATGTCTTACCAGGTCGTCACTCCATCTAGTGGAGGGCCGCCCTACTCTTCGTCTACCGGTAAGAGGCTGCCAATCGAGAACCTTTTTTTCCCCATCAGCCATAGCCGGCTCATTGCCACTTCAGTCGGTTACTCTGATTCTACTGCGGATATTCATTCATTTTCGATTCATTTCTCGTTTTATCACGTGGAGAAATCCCGAGCATAGCCCTCTCTACGGCTTGCTGAGCGACCTTGGGCTTCCTCATACGGCCAGTAGTGAAGGACCACGTCTCAGATCTATAAGTTTTGTGGTATACATAACGAGAATATGTGTCGCAATCTCCCGAACGCTGCCCAGCCGAGTTGAATCCGTCGATTGACCTCTCAGACGAAGTTGGGTTTACCTAGTCGGACTATTTGTCCCAGGTAAACATATTCATCAACATCTTCGAGCTTAGTGCTCCTTACGACTACTGGCACAGGTGTGATATTGGGCGTTAGACATGATCTTCGTTTTGTCCATGTTTATCTTAAGATAAATATGGACAAAACAACGGATAGGCCGTTAAGAGGCACTAATGAGGTCATTGAGCATAGCGCTTAGGTCCTCCGGTGATTCTGCCATAAAGGCTATATCGTCGGCAAATCAAAAATGATGTACTCGCCATAGTTGTTAATACATAGTGGTTAATATACTTTCCGTCTCAGTAGCTTGAAAACGTCTTCCAATGCAGCGGTGAAGAGTTTCGGGGATATAATCTCACCCTGTTTTACACCTCTCTGCAGTTGAACAGGTACTCTGGTTCAGTGCTGAGATGGCCATCGTAGCCCTACTGTACAAACTCTTCAGTACTTCATTATATTTTTCTTTATTTTGTTGCTTAAATACAATGACTTGGCTAAGGAGCACACTCTTTTAAATATTTTGGAATATTTTTTTACATATTCCCTAAATTTGACGCTAGGATTATATGACCTCTCATTGTAAAGTTCATTTATCCTTTGTCTACTCTTATGGACTCCTACTGTCGCCCATTCATTAAATGCTTTGCGATTATTCAAGGAGAATGTTTTAGAAGTAAAAGTATTATTAAATTCATTGCAAATGAGCTTAAATAATGTTGCATACAAAAAATTTGGATTATTTATGTATGAAAGTAATGGAAGTTTTTTTACTATGTTACTTCTAAACTTCTACAAGCGATGTGCATTTACTGGAACAAACACTACTTTTTTATCTACTTGCTTTTTGTGAACATAAGGTAATAAAACAAATTGTCCACAGTGATCAGAGCTCAATTTTTGAATTATACATTTATTGAACGGCTTAACATTTGTAAAAATGTTATCTATACATGTTGCACTAGATTCAGCAATACGTGTTGGCTCCAAAAATAAATTAAAAAGACCATAAGATTTAAAAAAATGATCTAAATTTAATATTAGTGGAGGAAGCTTCAGGAGCTTGATATTAAAGTCTCCACATATTACAACAGATTTATTCTGTTTATTAAGCTTAGCGAAAACTTCCTCCATAATTTTTTCAAAAGTATCATATAAAGAACATGGGGGTCTGTAAACGCTCACAACAATGAGGTGCTCAAACTCAACGCATGCCATTTCTACAGTTCGCTCAACAGAGAGGCTCACAATATCTTTACGTTCTTTATATGATAATAATTTACTAGCTAAAATTAAGGAGCCAAGTCTTAAAATCGTTTCTCTATTGAAAGAAATGAGCACCTGGTGATTACTAAAGTTAAACATTAAATTATGAGCTTTTAACCAATGTTCAGTAATACATAAAATATGAATATTGTTGCTATTTAAAAACAATTCAATTTCTAGCTCTTTGCCTATCATGCCTTGTATATTCTGATGCACCAGGTGTAAACAATTTTTATTATCATTTTGTTGAGTTATACAATTGCAACTATTAAGGATTTGTAAGCTACATTCTAAATTAATTAAATTATTATAACTGCTAGAGATTACCTCTATTGTCTCATTTTCTAATTTAAATTACTAGGAACGGATTCCAAATTACATGTCAAATCATTATGCTGGTCAATAGGAGCAGATGTCTGGGTAGCCAAGTCCTTGGCTGAGTTAATATATAAATAATAAGATAGCACATTTGCTATCTGTCTTAAATTATATTTGGATAGGTAATACCTATCTGTAGTCAAAAATTTCTTAATTAAATTATTAATATCTATTAAATTAATTCTATTGGTATAATTGTTACAATTAAATGTCAAATTTAAATTATTGTTACATGATAAATTATTCATTAATAAATTTAAATCATATCTTATTTTATTCTCCTGTGGCCAACCCTGTATGTAAGGCAATGTAAACAAGATAATTTTATGTACATTTAAATTATTGAGGTAATCAATATATTTCAATAATTGATTTTTGTTTACATTGCCTCTTCTCCCAACAAGAATTTTTAATGTGCTATTAGGAGAAAACTTACTGGTTAAAACTTTATTCATTATATGACTAAAGGATGCTCCAGGCATACAATAATTACTAATCAATTGTCCTTTTAAATGGTTATTTAACATCATGCCCAAATTTTATACATATATATATATATATATATATATATATATATATATACATCGACAGTACACTTGGCATCGCTGAGGGATTTATAGCACCACCCAAATCTAAACTCAAAGACTTGCTTGACGTAGGACCGTGATTAATGGTATTTCTTGGGGGAGACCTATGATAATGATGATGATGATGGGTCAAGAACTCACAGAATACCAGCGTCAAATAGTAGCTTAATGCTGCTGTGTTTCGTATGGTGAGTGTAGAGAACCGGAGACCCTTTTTACTGGAAACGAGGCATTCCACCTAAGTCCTCACGGGTGACAACGCATCTGCATTCTGATTCGTAATCGAGGATAGATGTAGATGTCTATGGGCCACAGCATCCACTTACCATCAGGTGGACTGTGTGCTCGTTTGTCATCCTATCCTATAAAATAAAAAAATAATAAATAATAGTTTCCAGTTAGTCAGTTACTATCTGGTAGACCCTGAATAAAGCTTACCCAACGTTACAGGAAATAATTTTATATTATAAATAATCAGCAAAGTAACCGCGTTTTTTTCCTAGGTATAATTTGTTATTTTCGAATCGTTCCTTCATTGAAACAGTCATTTTACGTGTTGAATCAGCGCAATAAGAGAGCTACGAAATATAATTGCTTCGATTTGTAGCGATGCTTATAAAGTTTAAACAAAAAATTTACGCATAGGTTTTCTTCACGCTATCAAACAGTTTATAAGGTTTGACTGATGCGCGTTCGAATTTCATAAAGACCTCTGAAACCTTAAGATTTTTTCCTTATTTTTAACTAGCTTTTGACCGCTACTTCATCCGCGTAGAACTTAATCAAAATATCTGCAAAATAATAACTAGTCGTATTTTGACAATCAAATACTTATATTTTATCAGTTTTACGATCATAAAAAATTGTATGTTTATCGAATAAAATAATGTAATCGCCATCGATTTAGCTTTTTTGTAAATAAGGCCGGACAGACAGACAGGAATACAGACAAAATTTTGTTGGAATTCAAGGTAGAAATTTGTTTAAAAAAATATTTTTCTTCACAAAACGCAAATTAAATACATAGTTGATTGGGGTCTCCATTTAAGTAAATAATTAATACATAATAAAAGAATTTTGGTTACTGCGGTCATTCTTAACGAAGTAAAGCCGTCTGTGCGGAACAGGATTATAGTTGTAGTGGACGAGTGTGTGTAAAAACACTGATCGACCAATGGGGCGGCAATCCGACAAGACCATAGAGAGTTTAGACGAAGGAATTAAAAAGCATTTATGTGCTAACCTTCCCACGGGCTCGGGACACCCCCAACTTTCGCGGGCTGGTACTGAAAATTTCTTAACAGAAAAACTCAATAACCGATTCCGGCCCGACCCGTGATTGGAACCTGAGACCACATGATTTTCAGGCGCATTTATGAAAGCAGTCAATTCTGACTAATACCTCCTTTATACTGAGATGAATGTAATTGAAGTTTCTCAGTATTAAACATTTAATTTGGTATCATATCTCAGATTATTTATATATTGCAGATTATTTTCGGACTACTCTATCTGTCAAGCCTGGCTTGGAGCGAAGAGCAGGAGCCGAAGGCACAGCGAGTCGATAATCCTAATCCAACTATGTGAGTACTAGTTTGTTCTGTATCTTGTATCTCTTGTAACTTTTTAATTGCTATCCAGAAGTGCTAAACTGTAAATTACGATGTAATATATGCTTTTTCATTTGGAAATATCGCATTGACTGCCGTATGGTGTCGGATAGAACTAATCGCCCCAATTCATTTAGCTAGTGAAAAAGATCTTGTTATCCGACAGACCGAAATATAACCATCTCTTTTACGAGTTGTGAGTTCTCAATAACGAGTTCGGCAACGGACATTAGCGTCAAAAGTGCAAGACGTCCGGCGCTGTGGTTGTTATTTCGCCTGCTAGAATGACGATTAAAGCAAATCGCATAGAGTAAAGGCATGCTGTAGCTATATTCAACGTGGTAGAGCCACCCATACGGCAGCTGTATTATAGTTTAGCACGAATGGGTCAGTACTACCGGGGAAGGACCACGCTCTCACAGAATACTAGCGTCAAATGTACGGTTATGGTGAGTGTAGAGAACTGGAGATCCTTTTTACTGGAAACGTGGCATTCCATCTAGTCCTCAAGGGTGGTAACGAATTTGCATTTTGATTTTTATTCGTGGATAGCTGTAAATGTCTATGGGCGACAGCATCCAATTATCATCATCCATCAGGTGGACTGTGTGCTCGTTATTCACCCTTGTTTTATAAAATAAACCCTGCAATGGCACATGATCAGCATTGTACTTATAATGGTAGATGACCTTTGTCATTTGTGCATTTTCTTTGCCGGTCTTGGTACTTTTTATCAATGTTAAAAGAGATATCTGTACTGCCATCTATCGATTGAGATCTTCCTGATATTTTCATAGTGGGCAGTTACGATACCTGCAAAGAGAAATGGCGTGATGGAATTCTTTATGCTGCCACCATGCAACAGCATCCTCTACTTGTTCACAAAAAATCATCGAATATTAGATAATAAAAGTGAATTAATTATCCTTTCTATTGTCAGTGATCGTTCCTCCCATCACCACATCGAAGATCCAACTTACCAAGGCTTCTGGAAGAAAAGGTTCGTTTGGCGTCCCCGATGGGTGAAAACGTGGCAGGAAAAGAAGGTTTACGTAGCTGTGTGGAAACGTATGTGGGGTCCAGTAGAAGTCAAAGAGTGGGTGCCGGTGCCCAAACCACCACCAGGTTGGGTCAAGCATAAATCTGGCCCGTACTTTGTTAAATTACCGCATTAATTTTTAAACAACAAAAACAACAAACAACTTTAGAGCATTTATGTGACCTTTTATAATGATTTCATTTATAATATTATACTTACGGACTGGGAATCTGCTGAAGAGGCTGTGCGAGTATACCCATATCTTTATTATTAGCTCTGGGATTATCATTAACATAGAGATTGTTAAGTTGATCGTTTCCGTGGACCAATCATTCCTAGTATTCATTAGAAGGTAGGCCGCAGATATTCTTCGTCTTTCTCAAAATTTTCGTTGATATTTATAAAACAGCTTACAGAACCCTCAGTCCGCTCAATATTTATTTTGTTGATATAGTTACTGAAGCTATGACCAGAATAGATTGACTAGTCAAAATAGAGAAAAAAGGAGCAAATAAATAATAAGTAAAATTCATTTTAGAGATTTTAATAATATTGTACAAAAAGTCACTTCGGAAGCGTTTACAAATACTGATCGCTTTAATATCTAAATTATTATAGTGTTTAGGTAACGGGTCACGGAGTAAGCTTAAAATGTTACAAAAGATAAAATCTAAACACATGAAAAACATTTTAAATAATTGAATTAAATTTGGCGAAATTACTTCTTCTGAATTAAAAATGTCATTACATAATTTTATATTAAAAAAAAAAAAAAAAGAAAGAGCGCTGCTTACGTTTCCAGTCACGTAAACAACACACCAAACCCATGCTCATCTTATCTTATACTAACTAGAACGCACTCACGTAGGTACACATGTGCATGTCATACCAGCGTATAATAGCAGATTAATGCTGCTGTGTTTCGTATAGTGAGTGTAGCAATCCGGAGACCCTTGTTTACTGGAAATGAGGCATTCCACCTTAGTACTCAGGGGTGACAACGCATCTGGGTTTTGATTTGTAATCGAGGGTAAATGTACATGTCTATGGGCCTTAGCATCCACTTACCATTAGGTGGACTGTGTGCTAGTTTGTCACCTTTATTCTATAAAAACAAAAACCATTTGCTACCAACAAAATGACTATTGGTGCATAATATGTAAGCGGTGAAATTTAAGGAGCTGATAAAGACAGAAACAATGAAGATACGTGCGTGAGTAGTTTCACGTTATGTGCTTTTTTGTGCTTCGATATAGTATTAGTTTTTTGCTTGTATCAAGAAGTTGGGTATGGTTTCGACGTCATATGAATTATATGCAGAGCTCCGACTATGTCTCTTTGTTAGTCTGAGTATGTAATTTCTATTGAAAGAAGCTGAAATTGAAGAAAGTTTGAAGTGTTGTTATTAAGTTGTTGTAAATACAACTGTCAAATGAAATAATATAACGCGATACTTTTGTCTTTGAAAATTTTATCTTTTAAGGAAAACGACAGTAATAAGATTTACATACATGTTGTACAAGTAAAAAAATATTTTTAGTGTTTATACTCGTAAAAGCGGGTGCGCTCTGTTCTTTTGTTTGAGTCGAGAGCACATGCCGAATATATTTATTTGAGCGAATTGGTTGTTCAATATTGCAGCGCGAATAATGTCTTGTTGATTCTCATGTGCTATTTGTATGCGAATTTGTTTAAGTACCTACTTCTTTATAGTATTAGTTTATATTATATATAGTATTAGTATTAGTAGTATTAGTTTTAAATATTTATTGTTGTTTAGTTAAGTATTTTACCGTTAACGTTTTAATAAAAAAATAACAAACCTTGATTTTTTTTTATTTTGCTCGTCTTGAAATATTTTTATAACAATTTTAAATAACAGTTGGACAACTTCAAAAGTAATGATATGTCTAGAAGCAATCCCACCTGAGGACGCAAAAGACAGCCGTACGCAGTGGTGGTTTATGTTTAAGGCAAATCGGCAGGTGTCTAGGGCCGCGAGATTCAAAGAGGCAGTTCCCTCAATTTAGGGAGAATAGAATTTCCACATTCTATCGCTCTTGCTTTCTCCACTCTCATTCATATTTTTTATTCATGACCATCAGTTAAGGTTACAAGTCTCTCACCTAACTAATTAATGATATTATATTATATAGTGACAAACATTTCCATATTGTACATAGTCCACATGTTTACCACATCTGGCATGCGAAAATTATTAATTAAATAATAGAATTAATTATGTACATAGATTAAATTAAATCAAATATAAATAATAAAAAGGTAAAATTACAATCATCATTTCAAGCAAAGTATTTAAATATAGATTATTTAATTATAATTGTGTTACACATGTATATATATTGACTGTCTCGTTGGTCTAGTAGTTGAATTAGTGTGACTGCTAATCATGAGGACTTGGGTTCGAACCCCGGATCGGGTCAAAAAATCAATTATTGATTTTTTCCGTCAAGAAATTCTCAGTAGCTGTACGGAGTCAGGAAGTTGGCGGTGTCTCACCCCCGTGCCTCGGAAAGTACGTAAAGCCGTTGGTCCTGCGCGTGATCTCTTTCCGGTCGTGTCGGTTTACCATCCCATCGGATTACGAGAGTGAGGGAATAGAGAGAGCACCTGTGCTTGCGCATACACTTGGGCACTATAATCCTGTCCTGCGCTGATGGCTAGTCCCGTTGAGGCAGGCTGCCGTGGCCGAAATTCTGTCTGGATGATATATATATATATATATATATAAAAAAATATATATATATACGTATGTGTGTGTATATATAAATATATTATGGGCGATTCGCAGCGAAATTCACGCAAGCCGGAAGCTAAACTCACGTTATTAAAGTTCCGAAGTACTCCGACATTTATTGAGTTGCTCTATTCTATCACACACAGTTAGCCAACTCCTTGCTCATGTAAATAGCTTGAGCAAAAAGTATCATTAAAACAGAGACTTCACGTCTGCAAAAATTTACGTTAGACTTATCATGTCCCACGCAAGTTTACCCTACGCTCAATCTTGTAGAACTCACCTATACGAGCTCCGAAAAATTCAAAATAACTTTGTCCGCAAAGCGACCGGAATTTCGGTGGCATTAACGAAATTACAACTTACAAAGAGACTAGGAATTTCCTCTCCGAACACGTCAAGGAGCTGTGTCTCTATCGCTATCGCGCTATCAAAATAGCGCTGAAACTTATACTAAGCTACTAGCGAAAAACGCAGCTACCTACGTTCCAATCACAAACGTTGGACCAGGTCTCCGTAAACTACGTTACGTATTATCGAACTACTAATTTCACTCGATTCCGACGACCCAAACGTCGCAGGTAAGTCACACAACATACTACTGGATATGTTGTGTAGTGTCAAACACTAATAGAACAACGCATTAGACGCGATGCGCCTGTACAGGCACGACGCAATCCCGTGCACACCGCTTACACACCGTACACCCGCGTACCTGGGCAGTTTTCACCGCTCGATCGACACTAGCTAAGCAGTCAGAAATGGGGGGGGGAGGTTGGCACTCCCTCACGCGGACAGTAGTAAGAAAGAAGAAAGGAAGGTGATGAGGGGAAAGATTCACAATCCAGACGTATTGCAACAAGTGCGCATATGTGTTCCGGACAGATAAGTGTGGCGGCGGCGGCGGCCGCAGCTGCTAGCTGTGCCGCACGGCCACACTAAGCTGGTGACGGAAGCGCCATTTACGCGCGCCCTCCGTATCCTCAACCGTATAGCAGAAGACATAGATCTATTTTGTTGTACTCTGGGTGGGTTCATAGTAAGAGCTCTATTTGAAATTAGCTTTGGTCCTACTGTGACATAGATACGTTGTTTGAAATAGCAATAAGTACATATTTATAATCGAAAATTATTAGCTTGTAACGGATTATAGTTGGTAAAAATAGTTGTCTACATTATCGCATGAGGTGATAAACCTGTAAAGATAATTGTATAGTGGGAAATTAACAAATAAATAAAAAGATAACTCAAAAAAGGGTCTCGATGATTGGTAACAAATCAAATCATAAACCGTCATCATTGAACATTGACATCAACTTGACGCTTTATATCCTGCGACTGACTGTCTTGGTACTCCTCCCATAGACTGGATGCTTCTGTTAGTTGACAGATTATTAACAAAACTGAGAATAATTCTCGCAATTTAAAAGGACTATCACAAAGAGCAACTTCTTCCATAGTGGCAGTGCCACCACCAGTGCTTATCACCTTCGAGCAAACCTAGACCTTTATATGCTGACTGGTGGGATATATGACACCCACGACAGTTTTTAAATCAATAAATGATGTTGTGTATCATCGTCATCGACCGGAGCGTTGGCCGCTCTCCGGGCTGAACACTTGCCCAGCGGCAGATCTACCTTTTTCCTTCCAAGGCCAAATTTATTATATAGTTTAATTTGAAAAATAATTAGTTTTAATATATAATACATAGATGTGTAAGCATAGGGCGCTATCGACATTTAATCAGCCTCTAACTGTAAGCATACTGCTGCTTAGCGACAGAAATAAGTAAGAGGGTCCAGGGTAAGTTGCTAACATACCCAGAGGTTCCCAGGAGAGAGAAGCTGTCCTACCACCTAGCGTAACAACAAAAATGCAAGGAAAGTTTTTACAATAGAAGGTTATAGCAAACATTACAATTTCAGACTGTCAAGCATTCCTGTCAAACGAAACAAGCGTGTTTTTATAAATTAGGATACTTCGGATTATGTTTTAACTTGTTCAAAATCTGAACCCAAAAAATAGTTAAATGCCTTTGATTACCATAAATTTACTATAATATTATAATTTATAAAATAATAGCCTATTATTATAATAGTTTATTAGTATTTGCATTTTACTTACAAATAATTACAATGTAATTTGTGTTACTATTAAAATGCTTAAGGTTACAGTTAAAAAGGTACAGGCATTTTTAATAAGATGTCAACGTAAATTTTTGATAAATTCCTCAGAATAATACTAGCATAGAGGGAATAAAACAAAATTCGTGCACTTGAACTCGTTATGCAAATGACATATCCATCATCATCATCATTACAGCCCTTCACAAGTCACTGCTGAACATAGGCCTCCCCCAAGGTATGCCACAAAGC